ACTGAAGTGTAGACCTTGAACTTCAGGTGAATTGGCATTCTCGGCACTATACCCCAATTATCTGAAAACAGGCCGGATCTTGATCGACTTTTTTACGGGGGCAGATTTGGCTGAAAGTTGGGTTCTAGGGGTAATTCGACTTCCTGAACACGAATATCACATCCATTTGGCTCGAAAGTGCCTGGCGCCCGCGCCACAGGCGCCGGCGCCAAAACCCTAAATCACCGAATTCGCTGAAAACTTGTCCCCAGGGGTAGTTTGACCTCCTGAACACGAATATCACATCCGCTCCGCCCGAAACTGCCCGGCTACCCTAGATCACCAAATCCGCTGAAAACTTGTATACGGAGGTTATTTGACATCTTGATTACAAATATCACATTCATTTTTGGCGCTGGCGCTGATGGAAGACGCTGCGATCATCTGCGCTCTGCTAAGGCTGAGCCTGACCTGAAGGAAATCACTCTTTCTCTCATGCTTTAGAAATGCTAAATGGCACTGGCGTCGAAAAATAAATGTCATATTCGTGATCAGGGCATCAAACAACCCCATTATGCAGGTTTTTATCGATTTTGATGAAAAAGGGTGTGGCGCCAAATCAGCGCCTAATGGCGCCATATGACGTCAGGGCCGAAAACTTATTCGGTGTTCGTGATCAGGACATCACGTAACCCAGCCATGCAAAGTTACATCGAATTTGGTGAGAAAGATGGGAGCGCCAAACTGGCGCCGATTGGCGCCAATTTGACGCCAGCGCCGGAAACGAGTGCTATATCCGTTCAGGAGACCGAATCACCTTTGTGTGCAGAGTTTCAGCAGAGAATTTTTTTGACTTGTAGGTAATAGCTTGAACAGTGCCGCATTCTCTTATCGCAGAGAATGCCAGTGACAGTCCTCTACTTGTTCCATGTTGTCTTTATTCCTTGATCTTGTATCGGCCTTGGCATCTCCATCTGCCGCTAGCGTAGACCCGAGGTAAGGGAACTTTGTAGTCATGGTCAGAAAGGAAGTCGAATAAATGGCGCATTCCATGGAGGTGTTGATCAACTCCTCTGTGATGCAGTTCCTATTTGTAACACGAAGATAAGGTGTATCACCGAGCTTCGTAGGTGATAATGTAAGCTTTATGGAGGGGGATCCTCATGATGTATCTGGAGCTGACTTTTAGAGCAAAATTTGCAACAAGCGAACGCCTGTCCACAGTTAAGATACAGCGAAGATACAGCGTATACAGCGTTGTGCTTATGAGAAATAACTTTCTACGTTCTTGAAGCATGTGGGTTTCTCTCTGCGTTATGAACGAATTTATATCTATTGAAAGATAAAAACCCGCGCTCGTCAACAGAACTCCCCTTATTCTCCAGCTTCTTTCTTGCTGTAACCTCGGCATCGTTGTTCAATTCGTTAGTATTGCTATGCCTCTTGAGGTTTTTAGGTGGAATCTTTATTCAACGGCCTAACGTTTCGACAGGGTCGTCTTCTTCAGAGGCCAGAACTCCACCGTGAATCCGCCGTCACATGCGGATGTTAGTCAGTACATAGCAAATCTGAAGAAGACGACCCTATCGAAACGTTAGGCCGTTGATAAGAAAGATTCCACCTAAAAACCTCGAGAGGCATATCAATACTAACGAATTAACAATTCCCTTAATTTTCGGGTGCATATCCCCAGGAAGGCCTTATGAAAACTGTAGTGTGATTCGCATATACCGTGCTCACACAACATGACCTTCCTTTCTCACCACTCTGCAAGATGGTTGTGGATGATGTCAGACCTTCAAAAAAAAGACCATTGAATGCAGTGGGCCGATGTGGCTCCGGCCTCAATGCGCGAGGCAGCCACAGTAAGCTCAGTGCTTCCGCTTCATCTTTTACTTTTGAACGGCATCAATGTAAGGTTTTTCGAAGTCCCTTCGTGCATTCGTGCATTACACTACTTCTGAGTGTAACTGTTCAGTTTTAGTGGTTTTGTTCAATAGGTTTGGTAAATGTTTCTAGACACTCAGATACTTATTCAGTGAAATTTGCATAACTCACAATTTATACAGCTACATCCTGATGAACTGCGCAGATAACTTCACACACCTCCACTGAGGGAAGTCAAGCGGATACCACGAAACCGGGGAGTGGGGGGCTCAAATCTCCGCAACGTGATGGTAGACCTTGGAGGGCTCTTTATGTAGTTGGTGGTAAGCGCGGGAACTCTGCTCTTCTATTTCTCTGCCTAACCAGAAACTCGCTCACATTCATTACAGGCAGTCCCGTGCGAAGCCGAGACATGAAGTGAATGCCTGTCACTTGCCTATGAATTCAGCACAATTGCTGGTACAAAGGCCAGCGAATAAATGTCAGTGTGATGATGAGAGATATGGAAGCGTTTGATGTTTCATTCGATCACTGAACTTTTTTTCTGTTTCTATACAATTGCAGAATGTTGAATCTAGAAAAGTGGTACTCATTGCGAATTCTTCTCACTATTGCTCTTCTGCATTATGCTTACACAGGTGACTAATTTTTTCTAGTTTCGAGGTTCCAGAATTCATTTCCAGCGATTCTCCACTTTGCTTGGGCAGAAGGGATTACAGCGTCATCAGCTTGTATTTTTTGAACTTTTTTTGTTAGTCTTGTTCCTTCACAGCTGGTGATAAACAGTTTACTCAATTTTACAAGCAGCGCACGTCGTAGGTTGGAGAATCCTAGCGGTGGAGGGTCGCATTTGGGTGCTGGAGGAGAGGGGTCATATTTGCTCGTTGTTTGGAGAGAACGTTCCTCCCCGCCTGTTCGTCAGCAAAATATCAGGAAAAGTAGAAAAATTATGGGACATTCTGGAGAAACTGGTAGGAAGTAAATCCACGAAAATGGTAGGTAGGATGGGCAGACGCGGAAAGGGGGTCACATCAGCGGAGGGAACCAGAGAGGTCGATTTTTCGAGAATTGTCTCCAGCCGCCAGGATGTGCCCTGTTCTCACGTCACATCTCTTGAAGTATCCTTTGTCTGCACAGTTCGCACACTTATTGAGGGTAGTGAGCAGTGCTTTTTAGGGTTACTAAATAATTCGATGGCAGGCATCATTGTATCACTGGCATAATTTCTTTTATGAAAATTTAGAAGTTGATTTCACTCACATTAAAGGGTTCCTTTTGTTCGCGCCACGCCATGGAGGGGGGGGAGGTCGCAATTGCAGAGATCAGTACTCAATGCAGCAGGGACGTACATAGCTTGCGTTCGGAAGGGAAGTCGAGTACATGGCGCATTCCATGGAGGTAATGATCAGCCTCTCTGTGCTGCAGTTGCTTTTCACTACTTGAAGAGGAGGTGAGGTGTACGGGAGGCCTACCGAGCTACCGAGCTTCTAGATAGAAATGTGGGCTTTACAATGATGAGATCCTCATGCTGCAGCTAAAGCTGACTTTCAAATAGAAATGCCGCCACAGCCGAATTTTTGCTATAATCAAGCTACAGCAAAGATGTTGCGCATTTGAGAAAGAGAAAACACTTCCACTTTTATCTCTGCTTGTAGATCTCCGCCCTGCATTAACGTCCTGCATGAGCGAAGTTATGGCCTTCAAAATAAAACTCGCATTGGCCAAAAATTGTCCGCGTTATTTTTGTGCGACAAGCGAATATTCGCTTTAGGTAAGCCACAGCAAAGCTGTTGCGCTCATTCAGGAAAGAAATCCTTCTAATTTCAACGCCTTATAGATCTCCGTTCTATGTTATGTACTAACGAAGCTATTTCCATTGAAAGGCGATGAGCTTGCGGTCGCTCAAAATTTTCCGCCTTATTTCCTGGCCAGAAGCGATCATGCAATCTTGATGAAACCTTTTTCAAAGCTTTTTCGAAGTTTCACTATGTACACTGCACACTTCTGATAGTGAGAAACTAATTTCTTCAGTTTTCAGTGCATTGGTTCGATTGCTTTGGCAAGTGTTCCTCAGATACTCATTCTGGTAAAATTCTAATAACTATTTTCCGCGACGTGATGCTTGACCGTGTATGGCACAGCTCGGCTTGGAAGGGCAGAGGACGGTTTGGCCACTTGCTGTCAACTCATAGGACAATGTTACGAAAGATATGACACACAATGGAACACCAGTTTTATTTTTATGCCGACACTACAAGTCGCCTTTATTTGCAATGGGAACAGTTCGTACGCATTTTATTTTTCCTTTTCCGAATAGCGGACGGAGCTCAGTTTCACGGAAAGGTATCAAATATTGTGAGCCGATATGCGCTCTGCCTAGGCTGGGGAGGGAAGGACTGCAGGCTCGATTACATGATTCCCTCGAGCGAAAATAGGTCCTTATGTCCCGTGAGAAGTGATTTGCTTAACCGAGCTTCTGTGCTCACACCCTCCGCTTACCTATCCTAGGTTATACTGCTTTTAAGATACCACGCCCTTACTAAACAATATTAATGTCTCTACGCTGGCAAGTGACGTGATAAATTCCGAAGACGTGTAGGATTGATACGCCCAGCAGGACAGATTTCAGCGCTCAAAGCAGACGCTGCGTGCTAAACTGAGCTTCTTTCCAACCGCCGCAGTCCACCGCGTCGTGTAACATCGGCATACAAAACGAAACCGGTATTATCATTAAACCCTAAACTCATTGAAATATTCAATCCCCTGCATGTAGGGCCGCAAAAACTTATGTTCACAGGAATCTACCGAAATCTCTTCTGAAAAGAAATGCGTTTTTAAATCTTTCATTGGGGATATGAAGACAGCTTTGTGGGAAGAGAACAAGCATGGGTGCCAAAAAATAGCCCCGATCTGGTCAGCCTATTTTGCCTTTTAATTTCGCGTTTCCATTCTAGACTGCCCACCACCAACAGCTCCCGAAGGTGTTTTGCTGGATGGTCAAGCGCCTTACACGGAAGGCAGTACAGTCTACGCCAGATGTCCGGGGAATGCACAAATTATAGGTCTTCTCAATTTTGCTCTTTCGTTTATTGAGTTCATTTTTTAACGGGAGCCAGCTTTCAGGACCCGTATCGATGGAGTGCGTTTTTGGCATGTGGGTGCCACCTTTCGTAGGAAGTTGCACCAGCAGTCCGTCATGTAAGACTCCTGACATCATTGAGGTTTGATGCAAATGACAGCTTAGGGAGAGCTTGTGTACAAAATACAATTTTTTTCACGAACTGAAACGAAAGCTATATTTAGAAAACTCATTCCAAAAAGCAACAGGCTGACAACCCTACGTGGACTAATTTTCGGTATCTCCTTTGCCATTATCGAAATTAAGTATCATCTACAACAAATACCTTTAGCTGAAAACTGATAAGATAGTGAGACAAGCGTTGACTGCTCGTTTCTCTGGGAGTATCCAGCGTCTGTTCAAATCGCAAAGTGTTCGATGGAGTCCAAGGAGTCCACCTGGTGGAGTCCAGAACTGACGTGAACGAATCACACTTAGAGAGATGAGGGATTCGAAAAATCTATCTTCCGGGGTTGAAGTCTTTCAGCTGCAGTGCACACATTTCAGCCGCCAGATTCGGTACCTGTTTGCCTTTGAACTGTGCTTTGCTTGTAGGAAGAATGCATAGATTATGATTCTGAGCGACTCCTCTGAATTGTTGGAATGAGAAGAGTATAAAGGGCTAGGAAATTCCAGGGATTCTTCGGAATACTGCAATTGTGCTCTTGCAGTTAGCAGAAAGCAATCGAGTCATTTCTAGATTCGTGTCCAACACCGCTCATCCCTGATGGTGCCCGGCTGACGAGACTAGGACCATTCGCAATGGGAGATGAAATTGGACTGTTATGCGATGGTGGCGGACATGTGATTGGTTCGTGTATTCCACATGTTTATTCTAAAATGCAAATAGAAATATTTTAATCGGGAAACTTAGCTACACATTACCCTTTTCTCACTTTATGAAGTTACTTTTCAGGACCTTCATCTCTATCATGCGTCTTCGGGGAGTGGGCGCCGCCGTTTTTCGGGACCTGTTCAAACGGAAGACAATGTAAGTATCAGAAATTTGGCTACGCCTGTATTTTTTAAACTCATTTGCGAATCTCATGGCTCACTTGTGGAACGAACTCTTTCACTATTTGATGGAAGTGCGGGAAGTCGCTGCGATCACGTTGGAGTCCAGACGGAAAAGCGGCAGAGACGTGTTCATAAGAAAGGCAGACTGGAGACGCCCCGTACTACCCTCAGATATGCATTGTACCACGAAGGAACGTCACCTGTAGATGCTGGAGGTCGTCCTAGGCTGGGTTTTACTTGAGGCGTTTTCAATGGAGTCGTCTGTTTGCCGTTACTACGAGCTAGAGGATACACAGACATCTGTTTATAGTACTGCTGTATCTCGGTAGGTCTATTCTTGGAAGAAAATGACTGCATTGATCTCTTAAGAATTCAGTCGCGAAGCTCACGCACGTTTTCGTTATCCTGAGGTGCACGGCTCACTGTTTTCTTGAAGGGGGGGGGAGAAGGTGCGGCGGGGAGAGAGGTGGATGTACGCAGTGTCGTGCTGGCAAATGCCAAAAATCCATATAATCCACAATCCAAACACTCCATGATCACTTCGATTTTTTGGGCGACCACTGCCAACCTATCATTCTTGGTTTTGGTAAGTGTTTGCGTGGGTAAAGACAGTTCCCACGATCAAGAGGTTGAGGAAAGAGGAAGAAATGTCTCCCTGCATTTGGCATCGCCGTACACAGCAGAGGGTTTATCACTTTCATCACTCGAAACGGCAAGATGAAGAAGCTAGAGACTAAGCGTGAGTATTGCAACATTGCAAGCACGATTACTTTCACCTTGCGAAACAATGGCTCACAAGCTTAACTGCGCGTGTGCATAGCGTTGCCTGAAGGGTCGTAGGGCGATTCCCTGTGCTCTTGTCGGGAATCGTTGCACCCAGAATCCTTCCAATGGCTCTCGTCCTGATGAACTCGTCCAAGGAGCGGCCCTACTACCAAGGTTGGGCTTGTGCTCAGGGTGCTCTCAAACTTTTTTTCGCTTCTTTCTCCATTGCAAAGTTACTGATCTATGATTGAGTGCCTTCTACCCGTAACACTTGATCGCGAGAATTGCCTTTAAATGCACGCTTTGCGTCAAACTAAGGCTATAACCTCTCAAATGTGTCAGATGTCCCTGTTGGCTATTGTGGAGGTTTTCCGCGTTTTTTCCTCCAGTAATCAGTTACCTGGCACTTGGTCACTACTGATCTATTACCCTGTTGTCGCAAGCCCTGCAGTAAAGAATTTGAGATTAATTTTAGAAGTCTATCATCCCTGCCTTGCTTTGGCGTCTGATTTTTGATACGCATAGTCAGGAGAAAATGCTAAATATTTTCTCTGCAACAGTCCGATCAAGTGAACTTCGCATTCGCTGATGGTCGGTTTGGGTGAAAAATTTTCCTGGAAGGAAGTATTCAGGAAATTTCAGACTCATCTTCTATTTCTTGTGAATGGGCAACTTGTAAATAAGCAGTTGTTCAATTTTCTGGTCTCTTGCACAGTCAGCATAAATGGCAGCTTATTAGAAAAGAACCTTCTTCTCGCCCTCAAGACCCACAAAAGGATGCTTTGTCATCAACGTAGTAACCGTAAAATCATTCAAAAATTTTCAGACTCTTGTGAAGTTCCTGTGCCTCCGGAAGGTATTGGGTTGAGTGCTCAGGGTGTGTTACCCAGTGGTAGCTCCGTGACGGCTACTTGCACTGACGATATGAAGGTTCTCCTAGGTGAGTCTCTGACGGAAGCAAGTCTCTAAAGTATAACATTTGGAAGGGTAGCACGGTTCGCATTCTCTGGGATTTTGAAAGCAATATTTTTCAGGCTCAAAAGCACAAAATAAAGGATGAATTTTGTGACTCTATCTGATGAGAGCAAAGAGAGCACTGTTAGCCACTGTGTGTAGTCCAATTTCTTGGTATAGCCAATGTGTGTAGTCCAATTTCTTGAAGGCATGAGGCACGGTCATTTGGTACATTATCTGAAATGGTAGCACGGGAGCTATATAGTGGATAAGGCAGTCTTCAGACTTCGCGACGGCAGCGCCTCGGTCGCGCGTTCGGCGCGATCGATGCGCATGCTTTCGACTGCATCGATCGCGTCGAACGCGCAACCGAAGCGCTGCCGTCGCGAAGTCTGAACGCTGCCTAAGTGGCGGAAAAGCGTAAAGCAGCGTTCACTTCTCGACGGCGGCGCTTCGGCCGCACGTTCATGCGATCGATCACGCCGCGGAGCGACGCGATCGATCGCGCCAACGACCGATCGAGTCGCTAGTGGTAGCGACCGGATGTGTGGCGTGAATGATTCGCTCCACACATCCGGTCGCTACGACTAGCGCTCCAATGCAAAAATCAACTGGACGGATGCTAATTTACAGCCATTTTCGGTTACTTTTTGCTTCTTTCTCCTCCGCTTGCTTCTCGCTTGTTTCTTCCTCCTCCTGGCACTATTATTTCTAATCTGTTTCTAATGTTGGTCATTATTATGCTTGTTTACTTTGACATATTAAAGCTTCCAGGTACATTGTACTTTTTCAGATTTATGATTTTCTATTTATGAGGTGGGTTTTCAGGTTTTCTGTGGTTTTGGTTACCTGTTTCATTCTTATTTTTGCTGAACTGCTGAATTGCCCTCCAAATTAAACACATTATGATTGCTGTGAATGAAAAAGATAACCAACACTTCAGGGGACCTGAAGAACCCACCCTAAGAAATAAAGAAGTTGCGCGCCTTCAACACAGCCGTCCATCCGAAAGATTCCAATGTAATTGAAAGTTTCAATATTTTAAAGGTACACAAGCATAATAACCGACGAACATTAGGAACAGATCAAAGAACTAGTGGTAGGAAGGTTAAAAAACAAGCGAGAATCTAACGGGAGGAGAAGGAAGGAAAAAGAAGTGAATACGGCTGTGAATTAGCATCCGTCCAGCCGATTTCTGCATTAGAGCGCGGTCGAATCACGCGATCGATCGCGCCGCACGGCGGCATGATCGATCGCGTGATTCCCGAAAGTCTGAACGCTGATTAATGGAACGGTCGAAAACCGCAGCCCCTTTATATCAATCCCCTCGCTTCTATGGCACTTTGCAAATGACGCGATAGGAGCTTTAGCATTGGTCGAGCATTTGTGGGCGGGCGGGAGCGGTGGGCGTTCGGGTTGGTATGTTGCAGCTTGATAGGGCGCTATAAGGGTACTTTTCTTGGGAATGGCGGCACGCAGCGCCTGCTAAGGAGCGCCGAATTCTGTCCCGCTAGGCATATCAAAGGCAGTTCGCACGATAATTTGATACTGGGTCTAAAATGCTAGCAGGGTGCTATATAGTGGGAACCTGCGAAGAAAAGTCTTCGTTCTTAACGACTCAAAAAGCAATTTCGGACGAGTTTCTCATAGGCATCTTGCCAATGACCGCTACGGTAGATACGGTTGCACGTATGTACTCATATATCCATGTACCCGCTTCATATCAGTCCTTTCACCTCATATTGCACTTCGCAAATGAAGCGATAGGAGCATCAGGGTCGCTCGCAGATTTGTGGGCCAGCGCGGAAATCCGTCCTGCCAGGTGTATTAATCCTACTCGTCTCAGGGACTTATCGTGCCAACTGCCTTGATTCTTGATTCTGCACATCTTAGGAAATTATCATGCCACTTGCCTCTAAACAATATGTGCATCGCTGCGTACTCTACTTGAACATGGCGTTAACTGCGCCTCTGATGGCATCATTTCGTTTTGGGACGCTTGTTATCATGCCTTCGTCCATGGCAAGATAAGACGACAGTTGTCTCAAATTCAGATGTCTCACGAATAATCCGTCCTATCCCATGTCCAAATGGAGTACGCAGCCACGCCCATGGTTTTCAAGGATGCAAGGTTCTCATAGTTCCAGCGAGATAATGCCATATCCGCAGCAGTCCAGGAAGGCTCGGTGCCTCCACTGGACTAGCGCTAACTTGAAATTCAGTAAATCTGTGGAAAATATTTCCAACGATTAATTCAATGTGATATTTAGGCGCAAACACTATACAATGCGTACTCGGTAACTGGGCACCAGACCGATTCGGTTATTGTGTAGATATCACCGAACTCGGTTCGTTTCTTTTGAATTGATTTCTTTTCCTATATCGCTTTTTCTGCAAATGTGTGACGATGTGCAAGTATTATTTCTTGTTTTTAAGGAAAAGTCGTCTACGACAGCGGTTACGGTCAAGTAATCGTGAGGTATCCAGATGGTAAGACTTAGTATTCAAATGCATGTATTCATTGTTTCCATGAGTTAAGGCGTACATTTTGATGGTACAACTAGGTGCCTTCACTTACAGAATTAAGTATTTCTTTCAGGACCAGTGATAAAGGATTTGGGCAACAATCAATTGCTCATCGAAGCTTTCAAAGGTATTTTTTCCTATTAAGATAGACCTTGACAAAAAGTCTGTTTGCCTCTGACTGCAATTTCCATACATATTTAATTTTAGGTGGCTATGGCATCCAGGACGTGAAAGGATATCGTGGGATCACAGGTACTGCATACTGATCACTAATTGCTTTGAAAATCAAACTGGTAGTGTCTCCTTAGATTGGAGGCTTGAAAAGTGGATCATAAAACGTAAATGAACATTACATTACACTATAGCGGAAAGTGGGTAGTCGGAGGCATTCATGAGTTCCTGGCATCCAGTGGCCCGATAGGGATGACAAAAAAGCAAGAAAAATGCCTGAAGCAGGCTCCATTCACCTGTATCACCTGTGCTCCCGTTGATCATCGAGTTCCTCGAGCGGGCGCCAGTAACGTCTCCATTCGTCCCTGCAACGTGCAAGAGTTGCCCAATGACTCTCTCTGCTCGAGGGACACGATGAACTTCATACCATTCGTTCAGAGCTTTCACGAAGAAGTCTGACCATCGCATAGGCGGTCGTCCAGGCGTTCGCTTGACATCCCGTGGAATCCAGTCGGTGATCGCTCTGGTCCAGCGGTCGTCCTCGAAACGCATGACGTGTCCGGCCCACCTGATCTTCGAAACCTTGGCAAATGCGGCGGCGTCTCTGATCTTCGATCGTCGGCGGAGTGCGGAGCTCCGGATTCCCTCTCTCACTTGCGTGTAGCGGGAAACTCCGAGCATCGCCCTTTCGATGGCGCGTTGAATAACGCCAACCGCATGCTCATCCTGCTTTCGTAGAGTCCAAGTCTCTGAGGCGTACGTCAAGGCAGGAAGGACCGCGGAATCGAAGAGGGCACGGAGCTTGGTGTTCTTCGTCTTCTTCGCTACTCCCTCGATGTTCTTGAAGGCTCCCCAAGCCGCTCGCTTCCTCCTGCTCAGCTCTGGTGCTAAGTCATTCATCATATTGATTTCACGACCCAGGTACACATAGCTAGAGAGATGGTCGTTCCGTTGAGCGTGAATGGGACGCTCAGCAGTAGACTTTGAGAACTGCACGAAACAGAAGCAAAGAAATATTCGAAAACTTGGAGAGACAAAATGGTGAAAGGTAGGCAGGGAGGCAAGCGTGACGACCGCACCAACACCAACTTACTATTTACTATTTATTGCATGCACCATAGGCACATGAGCAACATGAAGCAACTGCAAACTAAAAAAACTAATTGACAAAATGGACCTTGCAATCTTCAGAACTCGATGTAATAATTAAAAGAAATTCGATGAAAAGGTAAATCAACGTAAGGTAACGTAACTCGGAAACCTGACCATTCCCTCAAGTGTCAACGTAGTTTAGAAATCGGAATAGTCCGTAGTAGTCCTCAAGTCAAATGTTGATGCAGAATCTTTTTTAGCTGAGCTAAGTTCCCAGGCATACTGTGTTTCTTCGAGAACTTAACGAATTCGGATGAAGCCCGTAAAGCGAAAAACTTGGCTCTAATATTAGACTTAGCTCTAGGAATAAGGAGAGTTTAATTTTGTCACCATCTTACAGTCACTTACATTTTCGTTCGCTGCAGATGCTGGGTGGGTCGGGAAGGGGGGGGGGGCAGTAGTGAAATGGAAGTGTCCATGTGTGCTTCTCGTTAGATGACTAACAATCCCTGAGCTTTCATTATTTTTCATTATTTTTACATGATAAGACGCAGTTTTATAATCCTCGCTTCGTTGCCGTTCACTGCCAATTGCACAATTCATGGGGTAAGGTGCCGAGGTTCTTTAGTGTTGCCTTTTTTAGACAGCGAGGGGTCCACATGGAGTATCCAGAACAATCAGATCTTCAGGAATGGTGTTCAAATCCCTAACAGCAGTGGTGAGTCATTTGCTATTCATGAACAAAAATTAGTGAGTCGTTTGAAAAATCTCAGCAAACTGTTCCTCCTGATAAAGTGGAAGGCCTTAGTTTATGTGTTCTCAACCTGTGGATCAGAGTCTTTCTGGGCCCCACCCTATTTCAAAGGCGAGCTATACACCTCCATTCGCCCCGCACATGAGGCGGTCTCTGCTACGCGCGAGGCTTATGGGTCCGCAACTGCAGTAGCGTTCTATTAGGTTGTCCCAAAAGTTCGTGGACTTTTCGAACATTTTTTCGAATTAAGTTTATTCCAGTGGGAAGCAATTTTGATCAACTATATATATGTCACCTTCATTGGCAACTTGTTGCCAATCACTACGCAATGTGTGGTTGGCCCTGCTTCCAAAAGCCTCTGGTTCTGTGCTTCCAGAAGCCTCTTGGTTCTGTGCCCAGAAAGGCAGCTGGGTCATTTTTGAGGTACTATCAAAAATCGTATTTTTTACCCAGAAGATGGCCGCTGTGGGATTAGTTTAGATGGCGATCGGAAAGAGCTAAGTCAGGGCTACACGAAGACTGTGGTGGAATTCCCCAGCTAAGCTTCGGGATCTCGAGCAGTGTCGTTTTCCAAATGTGTGACCCTGAGCTGTGGTGGAGTAGGCAAACATTGCTCGGTTTTGGGACCAAATGTTAACGATTTTCAACCCCCCTCTGCAGTTGATTACAATAGGTTTCGTAGGTTACTACAGCGCTGAGAAGAAGAAATTCCGTTATGGGAAGGGAGAAAGAAACCCCACCACATACACAGTCTCACCGCCCTACTGGATTGATAGGATTGCGCGATCGGTTCTGCCCTTTCTGGGGATCTAGCCGCTGGCGCTCCCGGGAGTGATTCACCTAGAGGCACCCACTCCATATCCAGTTACAGTGCTGTTCAACCAGCCCGTACAGCGGAAGCGGGAGAAAAGTTGTAGACAGTACCCACATGTGCTCCCCTTGGAGTACTGGTCAACTCATGAGAAAAATTTTGACCGAACTTCAGAACTTTTCTAAGGGAGCGAGGCCCTCTCTCATTTGTGCTTTGGGACCAGTCAAGTGTAAGGACTAGATAGCAAGTTGATTTGTACGTATTGGTTTTAATCAAGGAACACAGTAGGTCCAAATCCAAGGCAGGTGGCCTCCTTGGACGAAGTTTTTCACCCGGATAGAAGTCACTAAAGCGGAAGCAATTGGGCCATTCCAAAGCCGTACTGTGGAAGCTAACATCAAGATCTAAATAAGGGAAATGCCGCTTATGGCTCCAACCACGTTGTGGCTTGGTAGAGATTCATATAGCGAAGTGTGTCGAAAATGATGAATTTCAATTACCGTTTTTCATATGAGAACAGCGACTGCGAGGGACGATGAAGAAGCTGTGGAATGCTTACTAACACACTTCCTTACTAGGGAAGGTCGTCAGGTCGAAGTGGCCATTTGTAATGAGATGTAGCTCACTAGACGTGGTTTTGGACGCTGATCTCGAATCTGCCTTCGAAATTTGCAGAACGATTCTCTGAACGGAATTATGAAGGTTTGTTAGAATTAAAATGAAGGAAACAGAGTCGAGCGCGGTTGCCAGCCAATTCGCATGAATAGCCGGGAAGCACCCTTACGCGAATTTCTGGAAGGGAACTCCTTTTGCATTTTGTGGGGAATGTCTCTTTTGAGTCTAGAAAACACTCAAACGCCAAATGGGTGCCATATTCGTGTTCAGGGAGCAAAACTACCCTTGGAGACAAGTTTCTAGCCAGATGTGAGGTTTTGACCTAACTTTGAAAAGTGCGGTAGCAGTTGATCGAATGATGGTCACCAATAGTTCCAGGGCCAGTCTCTTGTCGATTGCTTGTCTTTGGACGGAATTTGCTTTTAGATACCAGGAAAACTGGAGCAGTAACAAAATGAATGCGTAAGAAGTGGCAAGACG